GACAAGGGTGGACTGTTGCTCAATTTTATGGATCTGTTGAAGTTAGACATTCGCAACGTTGGATGCCGGCTCAGTGGTCTAGTGATTAAGAGCTCGCTTGCGAGACTAATAGGTCTTGGGATCGAATCTCGCGAGGCGGGAACGTGGATGCACACTGCTTAGGACGAAACTTCATCCAGTGCTTCCAGCTTTTTCATGGTAATCTAGCTTCAATTGACTTATGATTTCAACTATAAGATGGATATACTTATATTAATGTCCTGGATTATATCACCAGTCAGAATTCATCTATTCTATATAACTGTTCACAAAACAAGTGTATAAATGTTTGTACATGCTGGTTAATCACAAGTAGTTCCGATCCAAAAACCAATCTTATCCCCGACTAGTTTTATTTGATGAAGATATCACTACATAATCAAATTACCAAATTTATTTATTACCTTATATAGTAGTAGTAGTAAGCACGATATTGACTGTTTACGTCATATATATATATATATATATATATATATATATATATATATATACTTATTTATATCAATAATCACTAAATTATATCATTATGTCATCTCTCATTTATATGATTTTATAATAAGGTTAAACTGTTTTTCATATTTTGTATCATTATAATTCAATTGAATATAAATATAAAATATGTAATTGTGATAAATCTTAATTTAAATATTTATGAGATGGGGTTTTGTGGAGATTTAGTATTTTCATAATTGAAACCGTGAGTCAATTGAAGCTAGACCACCATGGAAAACCTGGAAGTACTGGACGGCCGTTTCGTCCCATTATGGGACACCTCAACGTCCCTTTGATAAAATTCGTTAATATAATGAGAAGACGAAGTTTATCAGAATGATGCGTTATATTTGCGCAATACATTTCAGCATTACCAGGGTACGTTAAGGTAAGAACAAATTGCTTTTGAACACATAAAGCGGGTTTCAATTTCCATATAGCCAAGCTTTAATAAACCTTAGTATAGGCTTTTGTACAACACTACAAACGCTGACTTGATGTCAATCTTATGACCAGTTTCAACCAAATGTTTCACAATGGAGGAAGATGTTTGTCTATCTTATTCGACCATTGGAGTCCATTTGTTTCTGCAGTCATTTAGGTAGTGTTATTATAATCAATAATTGTACATGTAATTATTTACTAATCATAAAACAATCTAATATAACACTATTTTCTACTCACTAGTATAATTAAATAAATTAGACTAAACTATTTCATTAAAATAGTAGTAAGGTTGGATGTTCAATATTCAATATTTTCTATTCATAAATTTATTTGGTATTGCTTGTTTGAATCTTTCCATTGATGTTTGACACTTCAATTGATCACTCTCTTATTGGCATATGTGCATACTGTGCGTATTGCCTCGATATAGCCTTAATTGACAAGTATTATAAGGAGAGATGGATAGTGGGTAACAGTGGAATGGGGTGAAGTTTAATTCACTTAGTATTGTTTGTTTGAATCTTCCTTTTGATATTTAGGCTTGTAATTAATCAGTTTCGAGTCCCAGAGTGAACATCAACTCTGAGATGCAGATACATCTAGCTGACGAGTCTCAAACAGCACGACGTAATTACTTGATAAGTAAAGGAATTAATTATTTTAACCTGGAGTCTATTTCGTTTGTTAGCTTGATGCTCTCAGGAATGCTGTTTACATTTACAAACTATTCTACTAAACCATTCCGTCTGATGATAATAAAAATATGATCTACATACCGGAACGAGACTTTTGGTTGACATACGCATCTTATGATCGAACTAGGTCCTACGGAATGCATGAATAAATTCCCTACAATCGGAAAAACTAGTGAACCTATTTCTACACCTTCTTTCTGTCTATGAAGATCTCATCGAATGTGTTTATACAGAAACAAAATACTAACAAATATGTGACTTACATAAAACATTTTTATAAAATAAGAATTGGGCAGTTTTAAATGATACATATTTTTGACAGTACAAAGTAATTTTTGATTAACAAATGCATGATATTTGGTAAAATATTTTGAAAAGTTGATTCTAAATGTGTTGTAATGCTATTTCATGGTCGGATGTGGACAATAAGAAGACTTGAATTTAAGTTTCTGACTAGTGATCTGTACTCAATGTGAGAATCAAACCCACCCTAGTTATTTCTGTAGTTTGAAACGATAAGATCAAACAGTACACATATCGGCTGAAACTCTGCTGAAATAAGACATATTAATCAATTCGTAAATAGTAACTAATCTCTTGACTCCTTAGTTAATAATGCTGATTGAATTTTCCATATGACTAAAATATCTTCATTTACTTTCACGTCAATTTCTATGTTTTATATTCTGTTTCTTTGATTGATCTAATTTGAGCAGATATAGTGGGATTGAGGAATACAATTCATATATTACCTATTCAAATACATGAAGCAAACAATTGAAATCCACCATATGAGATGATTTGCTTTCTCTAATTTGACAAAGACTAATTTTCTTTACTATTTTATCTTGACAAAATAGGAACTAATTTTTATATAAATATCATATAGGAATCAGTTAGATGGGTAAATACTTGAAGCTTGACTAAACGCATGGAACTAAATATTCTGGGAATTTATTGCCTATTCAAAATGACTTTCATTCAAAAATGAATTTTAAATTTGGCTTAGCGATATTTCATTAACATTCATATCAGTTATAAAGTATATATCGAATAGGCTCTACGAAAGTATTTATTGAAATCAAGTCCGATGATTGCAAAACTATAACATATGAAGATGTCCTTTTGTTCTCATAAAATGTTAACCGGTAAGACTCTACTTCAGCATGTGCAAGAGTGATGATCTAAATGTAAACTATATTTCAATACATGAAAATACAAAATTGAAATGATTGTCTTGAAGTTCTATTCGCAAACTAATATCATAGAGAATTTAGTGCATCTTTAAGTCTCGATCATGGCCATTATTGATTTCTAATCCATCTTTGTCGATTTATTTTTAGCTATCTAAGTTGGATTTACTTCAAATTCATTCGCTGAGATATTACAAATATATTACTCCTACTTAATATCTAGGTTTACTTTGAAAATATAAGACCAACGTGCTTTACAAACATATAACCTCTGCCAAGGAAGTCCTACTCATTGCCTTCTCGTAGCATTACTGTTGTTTACGAAATTCAGAGGATGAAAAGCGAATGTCCGGTGCTTTAACCGGGTTGGTGGACACGGAGGGTCCACCTAGGGAAGTTGGAAAACCCTCATTCCAAACCAGTGGTGCACATGGGCTCCAGTATCCTGAGGGAACAAATGAATATGAAACAATCGTTGGTCACCGGCTACCATGGGACTGCATCTCCTCACGATGCTCCACTGCCTTGTGGATCAAACCTTTAGGTCGAAGGCTCCGGATGTGGCCCCCTAAGAAAACTACTTGCTCCAGTTGGAGCACCTGGGCACTATCACAGCCCTCACACAGATCAAATGAGATTTGTGTGGCGCATATATATCTGGTTCCCCTTCGTAACAATATTTATGTGTTTAAATAAATAACAAACTTACTTAATTGTTTCAGCAAGCGCATTATTTATAATAACGTACACGACAGACTGTATAACTTTGAATCATTTTTATTGATTTTAAGATTTTACACTTTTATGATTACAGATCTGTAACTTCGAAAGAAATTTAGGTACCTACCATCTGTCTAACAGTTATTATTCAAACTAAAGAATGTCATAATATTTTGAAGGGGATTTGTGGAGATTTTAGTATTTTTCAAAGTTGAAATCATGAGTCAATTGAAGCTAGACCACCATCGAAAACCTGGAAGCACTGTACGGCCGTTTCGTCTTATTATGGGACTACTCAGCAGTGCGCATCCACGAACCCGCTTTCATAATACTAAATTCATTCGAAATATCTTCAAATGAGAATCATCAATTAATCGCTAAGATTTTTAAGACTATTTATAGACCCATCCATAGACAAAAGAATCTCCGTAATATAATTATTTAAATAGGATTTCACTGCTAGTCCTTTCTTATTGAATAAATGTATTCCATTTATTGAACCAAATCAAAGCACCCTCTTATAACTTGTGACCGAGTGGATACCTTGTTTACGTATGACGTGATAAGACCGCCAATCAGAGAGCAGCGAATTATCGATTGGAACAGTGACACATGAAAACCGTACGATCCGTCTTGAGTATTTATCGGTCCTGCTATCTACCTATCCCAGCCAGTTGAATCCAGAAAAGCCTCTGCGATATGAATCATTATATTTCAAACATACTGAGTTTATATACTAAACAGACTGACCACAACGTACCAATGAAATAGAAAATAACATTTGTACAAGATTTAGCCAAATGTGACTGTGAATGTGGGAGGCAACAATTAATTGACTAGGGATAACTCAAGAATGGTAAATCGTATAATAATAGCCTATAAGTCAAAATAAAGCTTATAATAAGGAGGACACGAATATGATTAGTTCAGTTATTTATCAAATAAACCATAAAAATTATATACATAATATTGGTTCATAAATGGTTCTCACAATTGACCATTCACTATTATTATTATTATCGGGGCATAACACATTCTTATTATCTTACCTTTTAAATAATAAAATTTATTTAATTAACCAATAACTACTCGTAAGTCGTTTATCATTGGTTTATAAACAATAAAAAAACTTTTTTTTAAAATTTTTTCCCTTAGTACCCAAAAACAACCAATAAGACAATAGCAATCTCCAAGAAGAGAAACGATACTTATATCCTCCTCCTCCTCCTCCTCATCATCATCATCATAATCAGAAAACTTTGTTTTAACTATTCAACTACCGGAATTATTACAGTTTACCATTGAAATGAATAATAATACAACAACCTTACAATTTTCATTTACATTTTATTATTATGTTAAATATATTGGATTATGTAATCATTTAAATGATTCAAATATATATGGTAAATCAATGATTTTACCTCAAACTAAACATCAAATACCATTTATATGTTTTACCTTTATTGGTTTTATATTAAATTTTATTTCATTATTTATATTTTTATTTGGTGATTTAACTAAACATACAAAATCTAATTTATCAAAATATGGTAAAATTCAGTTAGATATAGATAGTTCTAATGTATCTTCTAGATGTACAAGTATCAAGTCAACAAGATCTCGACATTTAAAACATTCAAAAAGTTCATTTATGATTAGTTTAATATTTTTATGTGGATGTGAAGTCATATTTAATTTAGGCGCATTTATATTTAAATTAATTCAAGTACTATCATCATATTTTATACATCAATATCCAATAGATGGATCAAAGCATATACCACCTGATATGAATTTAATTATATTACCAATTATACAAAATATTTTAATGTTTATTGCTGAAATAGGTTTATTCTGTCGTAATTGGTGTGTTTGTTTAATTACAGCAGCTAGAGCTGAAGTAGTTATTTGGCCACTAGGTTCACGTTCATGGCAACGTATTTTAAGAAATCCACGAAAATTTATTCAAATCTTTATTCTATTATTATTAATATCTATTATAATAGCTGGTTTAAAACATACAGATTATATTTCATTATTATGTTATGATTCAATTAATCATCAATATGGAATGTGGTCACAAGAATATATGTTCACACATAAATCATTTTCACTATATATGAGTTTTGTTGTTTTACCATATCGTGCCGTAATTACTTGGATACTTATTATATTATTCACAGTTATGATTATTATAAGATTACGTCCATGGAGAAAAGAATCATCATTATTACAAATATCTCAATCGAAATCATTAGTTGATATACCAATGGAACATGAGAATCCACAACATGATGCTGTACGTAAACGTCAAAAAGGTCAAATGAAAGCTACACGTGTTGTTTTAATGGTTGCTTTAGCTTTTGGTTTATTAGAATGTATGAATTTTATGATATCAATATGTCAAACATTTAATCTCCTTGGTAATAATCATTTAAGTCGTCTGCTTGAAACAATTGGTAATACATTGATCACCATTGATTCAATATGTAATTTTTTTGTATTTATTTCATTAATGTCTTATTTTCGTATAATATTTTTACGAATATTCTGTTGTAAAACATTTAATAATGAACAGCCCTTGGCAACTAAAAGTACTTCATGTACTTCAGTAACTCATTCTATAATTGGGAATAGTTATCATATGGAAAAATTAAATACAAAAGTGTAATGTCTCTTTTCCCGTCTTATTACAATAAAGAAGAAAATGCTGGGAACAAACGTGTTTGTAAATAGTGTTGTTTTAATAAATTGACATGTTTTATTTTCTCTTTTCTATAAATACTACTTATAACAAAAATCATTCCATAAATATAATTTCTTACTAGTAGTATTCATTTACCAATGTGATTAATTATTTGATTATTTGATCATTTCTCTATTGTTGATGGGAGTTTGTAACGGGACAAAAATAAGTCACTTTCAATTGTTTAAACATTAATTTGATTGATTAAGTTTCGTCTTTTCAATTTGTTAAACTCGTCAGGTTTAAATAAATAAACTTTAATTCCTTTTCAAAAGAGGAAATTGGGTATATTTTAATGGCGTTCAATATGAATTAAAATTCATTGTGACAACTGTGTGTGTGTTTTTTTGTTGGATTATTTTAATCAATTTCTGTAAAATGTAAATGAACTTCTTTGTCTCTGTGTACCGTTCATCAGGTATAGTACTTTTTATTTGTTGATCTGTTTGTAAAAATTTTCATTATTTGTATAATAAGTAGTATATGATGTTTTTGTTATGATTTTGACCTAGACTGTAGCCAATTGTTATGACTTGATCTAGGTCGTCGCTGATTCGTTATGACCTTACGAATTTAACAAGGACGTAATTCTCGCAAATGATCCACCAATAGAATACGCCTTCTACGACCTTCACACTGTGACAATGACGTTCGATTAATATGAGTAATCTAGCGCCCTTATTGGTCCTTATCCGCCTAACCCGTCCACTTGAGTCCAAAAACACCAATAGCCGCTGCTGTAATGCGAATCGTTTATTTCAAGCATACTTTATCTATATACCAGACAGGCAGACCACACCACACCATAAAATAGAAAATAATATTTGTACAAAACCAGGCCAAATGAAGCTGTAAGCGTGGGAGACAATAATCAATAAAACTGAGCATAACGTAGGGACAGTAAATCATATAGTAATAATCAATAGGTCAAAATGAAGCTAGTAATAAGATGAATATAGATATAGATAATCCAGTTACTGAATAGTTATACCATAGGAATATAAATAGATTAATAGTCTAATAAGAGGTCCCGTAAGTTATCAGTACTTACTTTTTCCTAGTATATAACACCTCCCCTTTTTTGAAGCATCATGGATAATAGCGATCCTTGGGATTTATTTTTATACGATTAGGTTTCCGCCTGATGCGCTGCGACCGCCTTGGGAGTGTTGTACACGTCTTCTTTTTATTCGGGTCCTTTTTAATTTCATTATCCGACTCGGTTAATATATTTAATGGTATATCATGCTTTCTATCACTTTCTATCTCCCACTCCTGTCTGGTCGGCTGTATCTGGTTTGCATGTCGTACCCATATCTTTTGTCCAACTTTCACTTCATAAATAACTTTCCCTTTTCTTCGGACTATGATGCCAAATTTCCAGGTTGGCTTTACTCCCTGGAAATCTCTTGCCATTAGTGCTTGTCCTACATTAAACCTTCTGGGTAAGGCACCATGCCTTTTGTTAAATTGCAGTTCCATTCGTTTATTCTTGCATTGAATGACTTCAGGTTTTGGCTTCATTTGTTCCATAGGTATTCTAATCTTTCTTCCAAAAATTACTTCTGCCGGGCTTTCTTGATTATTTGTTGCTGGGTTGGGAGTTGCGCGGTAGCTTAGTAAAAATCGTTGAATTATATCTTCTATTTCTCCTTCCCCTTCGGCTTTAAGCAATGCTCTTTTAAAAGTGTCCACGAACCTTTCGACTAAGCCGTTAGACTGTGGATGGTATGGGGGTGTCTTGATATGCCTAATGGCATTGGCAATGCAGAACCTCGAAAATTCAGCAGAGGTAAACTGTGGTCCATTGTCTGACACCAATATATCTGGACACCCAAAACAACTGAATACTTGCCTCAGTTTCTTCACTGTAGCTTGTGTTGAGACATATTTCATATAGTGGACTTCTGGCCACTTAGAGAAAGCATCAATGATTATCAAGAACTGTTTACCGTTTATAGGACCAGCAAAATCTACATGAACTCTTGACCACGGATTTGATGGTGTTCCCCAACTCTGCATTTCGGTCTTGCGAGGGGCTTTCATGGCTTTTGCACATGCTGAACATTTTGCAACATATTCTTCAATCTGCGCATCAATATTCGGCCAATATACATAACCGCGTGCAAGTGCTTTCATCCGCGCTACCCCTGGGTGTGCAGCGTGCAGTTCTAACATCACCTTCCGGCGTAGGCTTGTGGGTACAATAACTCGATTTCCAAACATTAGGCACCCGTCCACGAGCGATAAGGAATTTCGTCGGTGAGCATACTGTTCAATGTTTTTGTTGTCTATATGAGAAGGCCAACCATGTTCAAGGTAACTTATAATCCGTTTCAGCTCGCCATCTTCTTGAGTGTAGCGTCTAATATCTTCAGCGGATAATGGTGTTGCTTTTATAGCAACTTGTAGTATTTGGTGGATATCTTCTTCCAATGATATCGTTGCAATAATAGAATCTTCGCTTTCCTGCTTCTGATTCGCAATTAATCGAGATAAAACATCAGCTTGTCCAAACTTTTCAGTTGATTTATATAGAATTCGGAAATCATAAGCAAGTAGTGTAATAGCCCAGCGTTGTAATCGATTAGCTGTATATGCAGGAATACCTGACTTCGATCCAAATATAGATAAAAGCGGCTTGTGATCTGTTAGAAGAGTAAATCGACGTCCATAAATCATTTTATGAAATTTCTTTACTGCAAAAACTATAGCTAATCCTTCTTTTACAATCTGACTATATTTTCGTTCAGCTGGGTTAAGTGTTCGGGATACATGAGCAATCGGCTTTTATTTACCATCAGGAAAACGATGGCTGATAACAGCCCCAATTCCATAGTTGGAAGCATCAGCGGCAACAATTATTTCAAGCTTAGGATTGTAATGAGTCAACAATAATTTAGAAGATAAAATCCTTTTTATTTCGTCGAAAGAATATTGGCATTCTTTTGTCCAGTACCATTTTGCACTAGCCATCAAAAGTTGATTTAACGGGTGTCTCAATTTATACATCTGGGGTACGAACATACTATAATATCCAATCATCCCCAAGAATGAACGGAGAGTTGTAACATCAGTTGGTGTGGGCATATTTTTGATGGCATTTATATTATCTGGATCTGGCCGGCGACCATCTTTATCAAATATATATCCAAGATATTTAACAGAATCTAGCATAAATTGACATTTTTCTTTTTGTAATTGAAAACCGGCTTGCGATATTCTATTGAGCACTACGTCTAACCGACTCATCAGTTCGTGAGCAGAAGAGGCAACAACTATAATATCGTCCAAATAAACTGCCACACCTTCAAGGTTAGACAACATGGTATCCATAATCTGTTGGAAAATTGCTGGAGCTGGTTTTACGCCAAAAGGTAATCGGCTAAACTGGTAAAGTCCACGGTGGGTATTAATGGTTAATAACTCCCTCGAATCTTCGTCAACTTCTACTTGTAAGTAAGCTTCAGATAGATCGAGTTTGGAAAAGTAACGTCCACCGTTTAGTTTAATAAATAAATCTTCTGGCAAGGGAAGTGGATATGAGTGATTTTGTAAAGCATCGTTTAATCCTGTTGAAAAGTCTGCACACAAGCGAATAGTTCCGTTTGCTTTCTGCACTACTACTATTGGTGCTGCCCATGCTGAATAATTAACCGGTTGTATTACACCCAGTTTCTCTAATCGATCTAACTCCTTGTCAACTTTATCGGTGGCTGCATACGGGACTTGGCGTTTTGGACAAAAAACAGGTTTTACATCCTGTCGTAAATATAACTTTGCCTTTCCAATGGTACAGCATCCCAATTTATTCTGGAACAACTTCTTGTGTTTCTGTAAGAGGTCTTCTATCGTTATGGCTTTCTTAGCTACATGAACCATGGGTAGATCTCTGGGACTATTTGTGCACTTCATCATGCATATTTCACTCAATGGTACATCCCATAGGTTTAGTTTATCTATCCAATCTATTACAATAAGGTCTAAGTCATGTCTGTTCGTTAAATAACAATTCCCTGTGAAGTAGTTATCTCGAAATTCAACAGAGCATTTTATAATTCCAACAAGCTTTAATATATCTCCGGATGCATTTCGTGCAGTATGCTCAGTAGGTAATACTTGTGGACAACCAATTAAATTCCATGTTCGTTTAGAGATCAATGTGATATCTGACGCTGTATCCAATTGCAATCGGACATGAACACCATTAACCAATAATTCCACATACCTTCTTTTATCTGCCAAACTTAAAGCTCGTGTAGAATATATACTGTTAATATATTTGTTTTGAAACTGGTGAGGACGCTTCGTAGGCTTTGATCTCAAATTTTCTCTTGTCCGGCAAACTGATTCTTTATGACCAAGTTTATTGCACACCGTGCATCTATGATTTCTAAATCTGCAAAATCTTGAAAAGCGCCACGAGCCGCAATACCAACATTTCGTTGAAGGTTTAGGAATTTTTGTGTGATGTTTATAACTTTTGGCACTTTTTTGTCGTTGACTTGTCTTAACAGCATGGACAGAATGATTAGATGGTGCAGCACTTTTGGTTTCTAACATAGCCGAATCCTGTTTCAAGTTTATTAATCGTTGACACTCACCAGTAATGGTTTGTAGCGTCATTTCTTCGTCATGTTCCATACGAGATAATAACTTCATGCGAACATCAGCATCACTGGGAGAATTCAGACCAGAAATAAATAATAAGCATTTAAATTGATCACTAGTTAACACATTTAATTTAAATCGTTCCGCTTGTAAATTTACTCTTCCGGCATACGTAGTATAATTCTCATCAGCTTCTCTAGTCAGTTGTAGACAATTATACCGGATACGAAATAGAGACATCTGTTCAGAAAACATTTTATTTAAAATGTTAACAGTTTCATCGAAACTAATCTCTCGTGGATGTTTGGGCAGGA